CACACACACATGTGCACTCGTCACACGCACATGCACACACGTGCGCATGCACACTCATCCGCCACTCCATCACCTGCCACGCTCAAGGTGGTGTGCCGGCACCACGGCTGCCCCTGGAGAGGCGACTACAGCGCCGTCGCCGCCCACGAGCGCAGCTGCCCCTCGGCAGTTTCGACGTGCCCCAACTGCGGAAGGGGGGTGGCCCAGAGGGACCGAGAGCAGCACACGCTGCCCTGCCTGCAGGAGCAGGTGGCGCAGCTGCGGGCGGAGAAAGCGCGGTGGGAGGTGGAGCGGCGCAGCATGCAGGAGCAGGTCAGGCGGGTGGGAGCCCGCGTGCGCGCGGCGCCTGGTTGGGTTCAGGAGAGCACGAGTCAGTGTGTTTGTTCCGGCAGCAAGGATTGCACGGGATGGTCACCTGCAAAGCAATGTAGACAAGCACTGGCAGGCACAAAGTGAGAGAGCAAGAGCCCAGCTTAAAAGGCTTTGTTGATCCCCTGCGCTCGGCTCTGTGCACTCTGTCACTCACACCACTGGACCTGCTGCATTTTCTTTCCGCAGCTGCACCAAGAGCAGCGCCGCCAGCAGCTGTTGCTGAAGCAGCAGCAGCAGCAGCAGCAGCAGCAGCAGCAGCAGCAGCAGCAGCAGCAGCAAGAACAGCGACAGCACCAGCAGCACCAGCAGCACCAGCACCAGCACCAGCCTGGCCAGCCGTTGCCGTGGCTGCCTTCCGAGGATGGTTGCAGCCTCAAGCGGCCCCACTCCGAGTACTCATACGCCCCTTCCCCGCCTGCGTCGCTGTGCGCGGGCGAGGGTGGGGGCGCGTGCGCGGGCGCTGACCAGCAGCACGGCCTGGCCGCCGCGGCGGCCGCCGCACTGCGGGGCCCGGGACACGTCCTGCAGCTCGCGCGCCTGGTGGGTGCCAGCGTCGGCGACGCGTCGCCGCCCGCCCCGGTGTGCCTCCAGGTCTTTGTGGCGATCACCGCCTGCGTCGCGCACTGGCAGCGCCGCCCAGAGGCGCCGCGGGAGGGGTCGCGGGACCTACTGCTGCTGCTGACCGCCGCGGACGCGTGCAGCTGGCTCAGCGAGAGCCAGCAGGCGCGGATCGGCAGCTGGCTGTCGCAGCTCGGGGCCGCGCTCGTGCGCGCGCGGTTCGACGGGCCGGCGGCTGCGGCGGCTGCCCTGCAAGGGTGACGGCCGGCAGGCGCCGCGGCGCGGGGCCCTATGCCCTCGGACACTATCTCACCTGCTCCGCTCTGCTTTGCTGTACACTGCAATCGTTCGGCTTAGACTGGCTCTTCCTGTTGCCGCAATCTATCATCTGCACGCAAAGCGCCTGTGAACGCCCCACAGCCGCGTTGAGGATGGTGGTGTTTGCCCCACGACCCCCAGCAGACGGCGCACCCGCACACTGCATATCACATGGGCGGTCAAAGGAACACTGCAATATTGTGATTTTTCAATGCTGCATGCTGCATTTGACAATTGAGGTGGACAAGATCGTGCCGACTGGCAAAGGGGCAGACCATATTCCGTCATACGCGGCAACCCCTCCTCTTCCCAGGGCAGCCGCAACACCTTGGCTCAAAATTTTCGCGCGTGTGCCCAAGTGTGTGCACTGTGTATGTCTGTGGCTGGATTGTTGAGAGGAAACCTCTGCACCATAATCTCATTCATGCAAGGTTGCAAGCAAACATGCAGGGCGCTGCACTGAGGCCAAGGCTTGCGTTTCATTGCACACAACGGTCGTTGGGCCCCTTGCATAGGCAGCCTGGGCCTCCCAGCCCGATTTTGCCTGAACACCTTGTTGATGTCACCATCTGCATCTGCCTGCTGTTGGTGCCCAACGCTGCCCAATCGTTGTTTGAGTGCGGGTGTCACTTGCACGTTGTCGCATGCACACCTGCAGCTGCCATCGCGCTGTTTGCTTTTTTCTGTTATCAATATTCAATTGGAACTACTTGCAACATGTAATATCACTGTATGATTTGCTGTTGGACAATCGACTCACCCCAGCCTGGTCAGCATAATCAGATCGGGCTGGGCATGTTGCAGGTACGGTACTCAGACCATGGTGAATGCCAGCTTGTCAAAGCCCACCTGGCTGAGCTGGAAGGCAGGCTTAATGGCTTTGCGTGCACTCGAGGTGCGATCGAATGACGTGATGGAGGCATTACATCGAGGTGTCCATCATGGCCGCCGGGTGTATTGTGCTCGGGCGAGGTAGGGGCTGGCGAAATCCAGAGGTAACGATTAAATATGCTCAGAAGTCCGAAATTCGCCGTGCTGTTTCTCGCTCAGCCGCAGGTTGGCTGCTTGGCTCGCAGGGACGGACTGTATCGAAACACGACATGGGATCAAAGCCCCATCGTTTCACTCAAAGAGTTCAAGATCAAGGTGAGTAACCTGTATGTAAATGTTACGGTATCCTTCGCAAGGCAAGGCTAGCTACCCACCCCTGCACGGTTTGCCACGGTATCCCACGGGCCTCTCGTGGGCTGGTATGCACATTTGATGCATGAAGACGTAACACATGACACGCAAGTCAGCCGGCAGCTCCAGCCGCTGAGTACCGTCCTGCCCGTTCGGCAGGCACACCCCTGCTGACTGGGCACACGAGCGCTGCACCGCCGACGCCGCCCGGCCCCCCTCCTTCACCCCAACCCCTAAGCAGGTGTCGCTGAAGAGCCTTTCTTGTACATGTGCTTCACCAATCTGCGTGCCGTGTCTTGGTATCTTTGCGCCATGGCGACGCTGTTGGAGCCCGCGCACCCTTGCCTGCAGGAGCTGCTGGCGGGCCTGGAAAAGGTGCGTGGGGTGCTGCCAGGCGTAAACGGCTGCCATCGGGGCCCTTCTCAGTGCTGATTTTGAGATCGTGATTGGTGATACATTAACAGCCTGCTCACCTCGTGCCTGTCTTCCTCCATATCTGCTTGATCCTATCAAACAACTGGCACGGACACTGTCCGTGCTCTGGCAGAGTCCATTGGTGCGGCGCCCGCCGGCTGCCCTCCCACAATAGACAGATACATCACTGATGCCACAGCACCACTGCCATCCCACGATCACAACCATCCGTCTCGCTTGCCCAAACGCTCCCGCCCCAGGGGGCAGTCATGCCCGAAGATTCCCACACTCCTCTGCCAGCTGGCACGGCCCAGGCCGCCGTCGATACGACCACCGCGGCCATCGCACCCGACGACACAAGTTTTGGCCCCGATGACGTGGCCACCCTGGTCGCCAACGCCTTCTCCGACGGCCTCGAATTTGCCGCCCTGCAAGAGCAGCTGCGGCAGGAGGGGGCGATGGCGCGGCTCCTTGAGGCCGAGGCCGCCGCCGAGAAGCAGCGCGAGGGCCGCCTTGCGGCGGAGACGCTGCTGCGGCGCGGGCGGCGGACCAACGACGCGCTGGTCGTCGAAATCGAGTCGCTGCAGGGGGAGCTGCTGCGGCGGTCCGAGGAGGACCACGCCGCCGCGCGCTCCGAGGCGATCACAATGTGCGAGGTCGGGGAGGCCGCGCCCGCCAATGCGGCGGGG